GGGGGGGGGGGGGGGGGGGGGAGCACTGCTCCCGTGTATAAAGCTGCCACAACCAGGGAGAGGGAGAGAGAGAGAGAGAGGCGCACAAAAATCTAAAGACCTCCCCCATAGTTGCATCATTCTAGTGTTGTTGTTGTTTGCATTGGAAGCGATCCTTTATTATCGGCATCAAGGCGACACGCACGTTAATGGCGGCGCTCGGGTGGAGAAAGAGAGTATTTTTAGCGGTTACACATTGTTTTTGACTGCCCGCGACATTGACGCGCGCCGGTGGCGATGACAGTGAGCGTAGTATAACGTAGTATAAACGTAGTAACGTAGTAACGTAGTAACGCAGCAGTGCCCTACACATGTCACATGCGCAGCCACGCGGCGGTGGCGGCCCTGGCCCTGTGCTGGATCACCACCTACGAAAACGACACACACGCTGCTCTGCTCCTATCGCCTCTGACACACTCACGATTCGCTCCAACTACGGACACATGGAGACACGTGCGTCCTCCACACTTTGACTACCTGGCAGAATTTTCTTTCCTCTAGCAGAAACGTCTTTCTCGTATTTCTCGTCTTCCTCGAAGAGGGCGGAAACACAAGCTACGTCACACGTCCCCAACGGAATGGACGCTCGGCCCGAGAGGGGAAGGCAGGGGGAAGCAGACGAACAAGCACTGAATCCCTGAACAACGCACCACACTGACTCATGGTGGGCGAAACAGCCCAAAAAGTCCAAAATATCATCTCCGAGCTATCAGCGACCTGCCCTGAAGATCCATAGATCCATGATATCCTCCCTCGCGATCTATCTAGATCAGCTGATAAGTTCCTCTCTCATTTCTAGTCTCACAAACATATATGCACGTCAAGTAGTTTTTCTTCTCTTACGGAAATACCTAATAACTTGTTGCTTCCTGTGTTCAAAATTGAATAAGTGTAAAAGAGAATTCACCTCGAACGTTCCTTCCTCCTGACACTTTCGCCATCGCACTTTCAACTCCGGGCGACGACCCTTCCATGAAACGTAATTTGCACAACGGCCGATTTGTCTATGCACTTACCTGAAACACAAAATCGAAAACTACGATTACGCACTTATACAATGAACGAAGGGAATGAAATGTAAATTTGGATCGAACGAGAATAAGGAAACAAGTAGCGTAACATTTCTTTACGGTAAATACCTTTTAAGGCCCGGTGATAAATCTCAGGCCGCTCGGCGGGAGAAAGCGTATTGAAAGAAAAAGAAAATGATTAAAAACTAAAAGCTACTATCAGTAAGAGAACGGGCGACGAGCAACGGGCGACCGGTTACTTCAGCGATTGGAATTCGGCTCGATCCGTCCGCGTTCGACAGAGAACCGCACGATTCTACGTTCGACGTCAATATCAACAAGTCCATTTCCTTATTAGTAAACATCCCCGTGTGTACACTCGGAACTTCCAGATAGAATCTACGTGTTAAATGCCTCCAAGTATCTCTTGCTTTAATTTCGTGTTAATTTAAGCAAAGGGTAAACCATCAGGAGTAAAGAGAAGAAGAAGAAGAAGAAGAAGAAGAAGAAGAAGAAAGGTAAAAGGTCAGCCACTCGCAGCTGCGACTCCTCCGAGCGGGTGCATGCTGCGAACGAGCAGCACGCACCCGCACGCACCACGCACGCACCACGCACGCACCACGCAGGAGGCAGGCAGACAGACGAGACTCCGAGTCCATTCGCATTCGACTCGGCTTGGTCTCCCTTACTCGCCGAACCTGTCACGATTCACCTAAAGAGACCACCCGAATATCTCGATTCTGCGATCCATCGACTCGATTCGGTCAGCCGATCTTTGACCTTCGATAGTTTCCGGGAATGCGATGGCAAATGTGATGATAGTACGAAGCGACGTGCTGGGTCCAGTGAAAACGTGAAAAAAGGCGCGAGGGGGTTGAAGGGGTTGAAGGAAGCTTTGTAGTTCGGAGGTTCAGAGACGCTCGCGGGATAGGAGGCCCAGAGCAAAGCAGGGGGCAGCAGGGGGCAGCAGGGGGCAGCAGGTGATGCGCCAGGTGTGGAA